GTTGGGGAAGTTCTCCTGGATAATATCCTGCAGAGTGTTTTCCAACTTGGTTCCATTCTCCCTGTCACTTTCAGGTACACCAATCAGATGTAGATTTGGTCATTTCACATAATCCCATATTTCTTGGGGGCTTTGTTCATTTTTTTTACTCTTTTTTCTCTAAACTTCTCTTCTCACTTCATTTCATTCATTTGATCTTCAGTCACTGATACTCTTTCTTCCAGTTGATTGAGTTTGTTACTGAAACTTGTGCATTTGTCACATAGTTCTCATGTCATGGTTTTCATCTCTATCAGGTCATTTATGGACTTCACTGCATTGGTTATTCTAGTTATCCATTTGTCAAATCTTTTTTCAAGGTTTTTAGTTTCTTTGCACTGGGTTCGTAGTTCCTCCTTTAGTTCTAAGAAGTTTGATCAACTGAAGCCTTCCTCTCTCAACTTGTCAAAGTCATTCTCCATCCAGCTTTGTTCTGTTGCTGGCGAGGAGCTGTGTTCCTTTGGAGGGGGAGATGCACTCTGATTTTTTGAATTTTCAGCTTTTCTGCACTGCTTTTCCCCATCTTTGTGGTTTTATCTACCTTTGGTCTTTGATGATGGTGACGTACAGATGGAGTTTTGGTGTGGACGTCCTTTCTCTTTGTTAGTTTTCCTTCTAACAGTCAGGACCCTCAGCTGCAAGTCTGTTGGAGTTTGCTTGAGGTCCACTCCAGACCCTGTTTGCCTGGGTATCAGCAGCGGAGGCTCAGCTGGAAATGCAGAAATCACCTGTCTTCTGTGTCGCTCATGCTGGGAGCTGGAGGCTGGAGCTGTTCCTATTTGGCCATCTTGGTGACCAGTAAGGTATTTTCTGTGCAGAAAATCACCATTGATAAATTTTTCCATATTTGTGAATCTGAGAGGTTTTATTCCTCTGTTATATTTTTAGAGAGATTTATTCTTAGTAAAAACTTGTAATTAACTCCTTTCCCAAAAATTTTAAATAGGGCTAGGAAAATATTGTGAACACAGAATAATCTGACACAGAACCTACTTCTCCATATCTCTTGGGTGATATTGTATCATCATTATATTAGTCTGTTCTGACACTGCTATGAAGAAATACCTGAGACTGAGTAATTTATAAAGTAAGTAGGTTTAATTCACTCACAGTCCTGCATGGCTGGGGAGGCCTCAGGAAACTTACAATCATGGCAGAAGGCAAAGGAGAAGCAGGCACCTTCTTCACAGGGTGGCCAGACGGAATGAGTGCCAGGAGGGGAAATACCAGGTTCTTATAAAACCATCGGATCTCAAGAGACTCACTCACTATCACGAGGACAGCATGGGGGGAACCACCCCCATGATCCAATTACCTCCACCTGCTCTTGCCCTTGACACATGAGGATTATGGGGATTACAATTAAAGGTGAGATTTGGGTGAGGACACACAGCCAAACCATATCGATCATCTTAACTATTCACAAATAGCTTACCATGAGACTGAATAAGTATCAGCGGAGTTCTGGCATTGGATTCTTTATATGCATCTTTCAAATTAACTCCAGTTCTTTGAAGATATTCATTTCCCATTTTTTCAGTTATAAACTTTCTCACTGAATTATTTAAACTTTCTGGTCTAAGAATTTTTATCTAAAAAAGAAAATATGGAAGATAAGGTAAAATTAAAAACCGCCCAGGGAGATATTCCCTATGGTAAAATGAAATAAAAATAAGAAGTATTCATTTTTTAGCTTTACAGCTAGAGTTTTCCTGTTGGGGAAGCTTAATGGGAGAGTCTATGCATGGAGGGGAAGCTGACACCATGTTCCTGTGGCCATAATGCGGCCCTTCTTAGATACCATGGCTACCTTGTGTCCTTGTGTCTCTATCTCTTTCACACTCTGAGTGAGCTCTTGCTTTGTTTGTAAAGATCCAAGTTATACTCCCTAATTCTGCAAAAAGAAATTTTTTTCCCCTCGGTTTTCTTCCTGCTCTGCTATACATGTCTAGAGCAAGAAAACCCCATGGTGTTGGAGGGAAGAAAATCCAGGATAACACAACTGGAAGAGTATTAATTCTTCCATTAATAAAATGAAAACAAATGGCACAATCTTTATATGTTTGAGCAATTAGAATACAAATCTGAAAAGAATGCTAGATGGACTAAAAGATTTTGGAAACAGTGTAAATGTGTAGTAAACAGAGGTTCAGGGTATACTGGAAATCATTGCAAACTTCAGAGGAAAGACCTTTCTCATAAAAACTGTTTTACACAAATCACTTACATGACATTTCTCTACCTAATGACCATAAAATATGTCCTGAACATGTTCAACATCTGGGACTCCATCATTTAAAGCAAAACTGAAGCTACACATGTCTGTGTGTCTGTGTGATGTACCAGGTTGGACCATGGGAAGTTGCCATTTTTACCTTTCAATAACTGTCAAATATTGGCAATTTTATATATTTAACACAGCACATTTAATCATTATGCTGAATTCTGCTCTTTTCTGTTATGTTTTGGAAAAATTATTCTTAAAATTTTCTTTTAATTATATGTATCATATTTCTTAAAAATGAAAATAGGCAGCACACAAAGACTCTAGGTCTAATAGCAGAGTTCACTCAGAATATCCAGTTAGTGAGACCGTGTTAGAATCACTGAGTGAAACAAATGATTAGGTGTTTCCCCGATACCCTCACTGTCGAGAATCTATGCTCCCAAATGGTCATCATAATTTTTTGTCACCAACATGCCACTAGCTCCTCTTTTTATTCAATTGATTAATCAAGATTTTGTTACATTTCTCCACTGTTGTAAATTTAAACCTTGAGGCCTTTTTTTTTTTTTTTTTTTTTTTTAGAGGTAGGCGAGAAAGGGAAGGTAGAATAAACAGAATTCTGTTGAATTCAATTTCACTAGCTCCTAAGCAACCACAAATCATTCTGAAAATTTTCTGCATGTCTATATCCCCTCATTGTCCTCTTTCACACCCTCTTTTCAGTCCAATAGGCTATAGCAGTGGCGAGGGGTGAAAAGCTAGGCAAAGTCCTTGTCCTCATGGAACTCTGAGAAATTCTCCTTCTCCAGGGCAAGCTTCTTTCTAATATATTTTAACTTAATCTTTTATGTGACAATCTCAATTTCTAACTCTTACAGGCCAGGCTCAGTTTTAAATATCTAACTTAGTTTTCCTATGCATACACTCAACACTTGATCAGACCATGACTTCTACCTTCTGGTTTGGAAGATAGGATCACTATACTCATAAAATTTCTAGTTCATAAACTAAAATCACTGGGAACTTACTGGGAGAAGGTAACGTGGCACAGGTTTAAAATCTAGTTATTTTTGTTGTTCAGGTAAATCATCCTTGCTACATAAAATTCAAGCAATGCAAAAAGGTAAAAATGAAAAAGTGAAGGTCTTACTCCCCAGATACATTGTTTCTTGTATTGTTACTCCCCAGATATATCCCCAGATATGTTGTTTCTTATGGCTCCTCCTAGATATTTTCAACACATATACAGGCATCTCTCCCCCTCCCTCCCTTTCTCCACAAATGAAGTTGTTCTGTACAGATTGTTCAATATTTTGTATTTGTCAATTAATATAGCTTAAATATATTTTCATGTCACGACTATGTCAATAATCCACATGTAGAGTAGAGGTATCAATCTGTTTAAAGTAGTCAGGTAGATAACAAAAATTAGAGAAGTGGGTTGGATAGAAGAAGAAAATCCTCTTCTAAAAGAAAAATAAAGATGCAAATATCATCATATTTGCAAATGGCAACTAACATTCAACTGCAGTGTCAGGAAGTAGCAGGGAGCAGTGAAGACTGTAGTGCACTGGGCCAAAGGGACAGACACTACTCAGCTCTAGCTATTGCTGCCATTGAGGAATGTGGGCTCAGTGTTGCCTAAGGCCAGAAATCTGGATTTTTATTTGAAATCTCTCAATTTTCAAATTTTGGCTCAAAAATAAAAAAAATCCAAACTCAAACCAAAACAAAAAACAAATGTGTGTATCAATGTTCCTAGCAGCATTGTTCACAATAGCCAAAAGGCAGAAACAAACCTTTGTTGTCTATCAATGGATTAATGGCCAAATGAAACATGATATGTACACACAATGGGATATTACTCAGCCTTAAAATGGGAGGAAATTCTGACACATGGTACAACATGGATGAACTCTGAAAACATCATGCTATGTGAAATAAGCCAGACATAAGCATGATGGGAGGCAGAAGGCAGAATGGTGGTTGCCAGCAACTGTCAGGAGGAGAGACTGGGAGTTATTATTTAACAGGTACAGAATTTCTATTTAAGACGATGACAAAGTTTTGGAAAGATATGAGGATGATAGTTATGCAACATTGTAGATATACTAAATGTCACCGAATTGCATGCTTAAAGGGTTAAAACGGATTATTATGAAGATTAAATGAAATAATGTATCTATATTTTATCACAATAAACTCAGAAAACAACTCACTTCAAGATATGTATACATATAATTTTAAAAAAATATATGATATTTATTTTAGTTATTTTTGCTTAAAAACTTAGAAGTTGCTATGGTCTGAATGCTGGTGTCTCCTCCAAATTTGTATGGTGAAACCTAATCTCCAATGTGTCAGTAGTATTAAGAGGTGGAAACTTAGGAGAGGATTAGGTCATGAGGGTGAGATTAGTTCCCTTATAAAGATAGCTCCCTTATAAATAAGTGTTGAGGAACCTGGGCAACATAGTGAGATCTCATCTCTTAAAAAATTAGCCTGTCATGGTGATGCACACCTGTAGTCTCAGCTACTCAGGTGGCTGAGGCAGGAGTTTCAGGCTGCAGTGAGCTATGATCACACCACTGCACTACAGTCCTACAGCCTGGATGACAGAGTGAGACCTAATTTAAAAAAAGAAAAGAAAAGAAAAAGACTTTCTTGTTGTGAGGACACAGCAAGATGATGCCACCCATGAAGCAAGCCCTCACCAGACACTGAATCTGCTGGGTCCTTGATGTTGGACTCCCAGCCTCCAGCGTGGTGAGCAGTACATTTCCGTTGTTTATAAATTACCCAATCTATTGGGTTTTAGCAATCTATTTTGTTACAGCAACCCAAATGAATTAAGACAGAAATCTTCTAAGCAAGATCACAGGTTCAAATCCTATAAATTGCACCTGAAAAGTTGCAAAAAATCAAACAAAACTTCAGGCCAAATAAAACATGTTTATAAGCCAGATGCAGTCATATTTTGCAATCTTTACATAGAGAGAATTTTTAAAGTGTTGCAAAAATAAAGTTTAAGGCAGAAATCCAAAGGATTACTGGTTGTCCAGGTTAGCATTTTCAAGAATTTCAGGAAATTAAGAATTTAAGGAATTTAAATGAGGTGAGAGATTTTCCCTTCACTAAATTAGGGAATAAATGTCAAAATAAAGATTTTTTTAAGGCAATAAGGATGAATTTAGGATAATCTACCCTGGAAAGTATAATATAGTATGACTACCAAGAACACAGATATGAGAGCCAAGCTGTCTGAGATTCAACCTGGCTCTGTTAGGCAATTTATAAACCTTGGTTTCCTAATCTGTAAAATGAGGGAAATAATTGTGCCTACCTTCCAAGACTATTATAAGTATTAACTGGAATAATATATGTAAAGTGCTTAACACATACTAAATTCTTCATGTGTTAGGGGTGCTAATAAATGACACCCATGCATATCCATAATCCAACCACCTCTACCCTCAGCCAGGTTCTGAAACAATTGAGAAATAGAGGTGTTGGGCAAAAATATCATTTTATTAATAATAAAGGTCATGCTGGTGGATGTGGCTTAGGTATGAGGCAACAATGTGCTTCCTGATACAGAATCTAGAATTAGATAGACTTACCTGTCACAAGTAGTGCTGGTCAGCCACTGGCCTCTCCCTATAGGACCAAGGTCTGTTCCTGTATGGTTTATGGCATGGAGAAGCAGCCAGAAAGTATGCTCGTTATAGGCAGACAAAACCCAAAAGGGACAGGGCTATGAGTCCTCCTCTCTAGGGAAGAACAAATGAGGGGACAGAGGGACTCCAGGAATGTTCCTCACATTGGACTCTCCATATGAAAGAAGCATTAAGGGGAGGTGTAGGTGTTTCCCTCTCACATTAACGTTCACAAAATGTACTTTAAAAATACATTTTACTTGTAAAATTTTAATTTTGAAGGGCTTAAGTTACTAATAAAGCACTCAAATATTTAGAATATTAATATTTCCGCATAAGATATCTTACCAAAATAAGTCTTTGAAATGAAGTGAGTTTCTCCCAGGGAAAATTTATAGGATTACATGTTTCTTTATTTTCATTCAAAAGTTCAGCTAGATATAATTTAGAGAAAGAAACTGGGATTAACAGGCAAATACTTTTTATCATTAAAAGATATCACAATGAACATTTCTGTCATAAAATTATGAAGTTTTTTTTCCTCAACATGGCTGACTTTTAAAGTGAGCTTTATTTCCGTAAGCTTTACGGCATCACTAGCTGCGCTTCACAACTCAAAAGACGGAGACATTAAGACAGATTTAAGTTTCAACTTGGACCAACTGAAGTGGTGAATGAATAGTAATATAAGAAGATGATGGACAGATGA